TCCACCTCCCGCTCATCGATCGATTTTCTTAAATGCCTCCCGAGTCCGGCCTACCGTCTCCTGCATCCTCATTCGCTCAAACGTATAAATTTCTTTGTCGGTAACTATTGTTATTTTGTACCTCGGTACATGATATTTCTCCTTAGTTTAACCCAATCTACCGCTATTTGCAAAGTGGCTACTTTTGCATCAGACACCCTGTATACATAGAGTATATGACAATTATTTAAAAACTGCAATTATTAAGCAATATTGTTAATTTTATATTATTTCAGGCAAAAAAGACCAAGCATATAATTCATAAATTGACAAATCTCATTTGTTTTACCGAAGCACGTGAAGAGGTGATATAACTTTCTTAAACATCTCCTGATTCCAAATAATTTTTCTTAAGTAATTTTGATAATAATTAAAATATTTATCTGTATTATTATACAATACAGATTTTCCAGTTTGTTATGCAGGTATCACTTCGCCCATTAAAGTTTAGTGGATTAGGTCTATTTTATTTTGGTTACAACTTCGTTCGTAAGGTTAGTCTTTAGTATAGTATTATTCATATCTGTATCCAAAAATAGCTTATTAAACAATGAAATTTTAAACATATAATATTTACATTTAATATCTTCTTTCAGTTCTTTGTTTGGATTCTTACGGTTGTTGTTTTTATGCTGCAAATAAATACTTCTCCCATATCTCGAATAATAAGTCTTGATAAAAATAATATGACATGTTATAATTAAAACCAGAGAAAAATATACGGTTACAAAATTTTTTTACGTAACTCGTGATTTAATGTATATATATATATTTTTTTAATTAACTCTAAATGTAGACAGATTTTAATTGATTGTTATAATCAATTGTAAAGATACTTTTATAGAACTACAAATATTATAATTATTTTAATAGTATTTGTACCATATCGTTTATAATAGAAACTTATTGTTATTGACTATACATAGAATATATTATTATTTTATATATTAAACTATATCTAATAAATATACATATTTTAAATAAAATTATTCGATTGTAAAATCTGGTTTAATTGCTTATGTACCTAATATATAAAATTTAGTTTTATATGATGAGTAAGTGTTGCTATTGATTATAAAAATTCACTCCCGAAGAAAGTTTCACTCGCACTAAAAAGTGTCGCAGACACAGTTTTCATCATCTAATTTTATCAATATATTTATCAATATCAAGTAAAATATTTTGTAATTGTCACCTGCCTAAGTGTCAAACCGCCACTTATTGTCACTAACAACAAATGTCTAGTAATCGATCGATTTCTTGTGTATGTTTATGAGACTTAAATAATACATTATACTAATTGATCAATTATTATGTCGTTATATGTCATATTAACGACATGTTATTATGTCGCTTGATAAATGAGTTATATGTTGACGGAACCGACCCAAATAAGTGACATTAGTTTGCAAGAAACCGCGAAAGTGATGACTATGATAACCACCATACAACAGGCTTTACATCCGTTACTTCTGACTTGTTCCGTTTTCGGCATAGGTATTTACTCTCCGAAAAAAATTTATTTAAGTATTCTCTATAAACTAACAGTATGGACAAGTTATGGTTGTCTCTGTTATTATGTGATAACCACACTTAAAGCAGGAATATGGTTTAAGTCAACTTCTCATACAATCCATATACGGATTGGCGCCCTCAGTACCATTACTTCCATTGTCATGAGCGTATATAAAAACAAGGTATGTATATTTATTCAAAATGTATGGTCATAATAAATTTTATAGCAAACACAAGAATTTTTAAATAACATTTTTTACATTGTGTCATATGTTTTAAATAATAAATACATTTGATAATACTGTTACCTAATGCCTGGAATACATTGTTGCCTCATACTGTTCAGAAGTTTAGACTATTTATGAAAAGACTTGCCGCTGTAGACGATACGTTGGAAAAGCTAGGTACACCAAAGTTGTATCAGAAGCTGCATGCATATGCAAAAAGAGTGTTAATTGGATGGTTCGTGTGTAGTTATACAGCGAATACATTTGATATGACATGGTGGTTATATGCGGTGAAGGATAAGCGATGTTTGATTATACCTTACATCACAAATCATTTTCACCACGTCAACATGTTAATGGACTTATTATTTATGACTTTTTTATGGTATGACGGTTTTATAATTTTTAGAATATTTATGTGTAATGTATACTATTTTAATTTATCATATGTATAATAAAAGTAAGAGAGAGGGGGGGGGGGGAGGAAAATAGAAAATGCCTCAAGTAATACATGTTTTACAAAATGGTAACATTCTACTCTAAAATTATGATATTTTTGAAAATAAAATTCATAGACCTTTCAGTAAAAATCATTTAAAGAAGAATACATTATACTTGTTTGTATAGACTTATAAATTACTTTGCTATAAATTACTTCTATGTGTATAAATAAAACAATTTATAATATATGTTTGTATATCTTAATTATTATCATTAATAATAAATAACTTCTTATATTTTAAAATTATCACTTTTACTTTGTAACAACACAGGTACATTGGCACCAGATTCGATAAGGTAAACGAGCACGTGAGATATTTAATAGAGAAAGAAGAATATGGATTTAATTATTTATGGAGAAAAACTATGCCAAATGCTCGTCGATATGTTATGTGCATTGGTTACCAACCTATTTTGTGGACCTCAATGTAAATCGGTTTACCAATATACTATGTATTATAGT